TTAATTTAAACAAAAAGCGAAAAAAAATTATATATTTGTAATTTTCTTAATAATAAATATACTTTTAACAATGCTAAACTTGTGATAAGAAAAGAAACATGTTGGAAATAAGTGTATACAACTATACTAATTAGACACATTAAGAGATGTGGTTAAGAAATAACTACATTTGATTTTTTTTTTTTCAATTCTTTTGGCCCAACTGGGCTATTACAAAAAAAATCTAAATATAAATATTCATATGTTTTTTTTCTAAATCAAAATATTAAAAACTTTCAAGGATTTAAGCTTATGATGACCATTAAATGCGCCATTGTGAAAAGGTTCCATTGGTCTTTACTGGCTGAACAGTATCTGCTTTTGTCCTCAAACACTTTCATTAACTGCAATGTTGAGCCTGTTATAATCACTGAGAACTGTGTTTATGATGAAGGTTGGAGTTTATCAACTAGTTCTTCCAATTGTTTATTTTAAAAGTCTTAACGAACTTGTGCATTTGTTCCCATTATATGAAATTTTCTTCAAGAATTTGTCTCAGATTCCTGTGTGTAGGTTCATAATTTCACCTTTAAGGCGTTGAATAAATTCCCTTTAAAGTGTAAAAACTGAACATACACATAGCTGAGAAAAATGCTAATTTTAGAACTCCTCATATATTTAGAAAAAATAATCAAATCAATTGTTAGAGACTCTTAAAGAAATTATAGTAATTTAATTATGCTATGAGAAAATCTAAGTGTTTTTTACATTGTTATGCATACAAGCCTATTGTGGAAGACTTCTAAAACCTTTCAATTTAAATATTGATGTCAAGTAGAAAACAAACACTAGTTGAGAAATTGAAAATGACCTTTTCATATTAGTATAGCAATGTTTACACTCATATACAGATAGAACCAAGAGCTGACAAAATCTTGCCATAAAAAATAAACACTATAATATCTCTACTTGCATATTATATGGAAGGTGGGAAACAGTTAGTCAACTGTCTGAATTTATAATATTCATAAAACTTCTCCAGAGGTTGTGAACATATGCATATGCGACAACATGCAATAACTTCAAATGTAATTCATATTATATGGAATTCTTTTTCAGTTGCAAAGTAAGCAAACCAACTAAATGTAGTATGTACTTCACAAGTTTACTGTTCAGACACCTCGTCTGTCTACATCCTTCATGTATCTCCACCTTCAGAAGCCCTAAATATCCAACAGATCTATAAAATAATATTTATATAAGCATTTATATAAGTTCTGTCTACATGTTTCCAGCTCACTTTCATCCTAACTGCAGGAGGGCAAACAAAAGAAGGTGACTGTGGGAGGGAATTCACACAAATGGAAATTTTTCAGAGACGATCGCACCAGTGAAATGTACCATTCTCTTCTTCACGCCTTAATGCTTCTTCCCCCAGAGGACCTGACGTATTCGCCACATTTGTGACATTCAAGCCTAACCTCAAATCGACCACCACGGGAGACCACCAGAGACATCAAGGGCCATAAACAACAGGCATCAAACTCTTCCAGATTAAGCAGATGTGCATGAGTATTAACCAGTATTCTCTCAATGAGGATCAGTTAGCATCTGTGATCTTTTTTATGTCATCCGCTGTTTATTGACAATGAATCTGGCTTACATTTACATGAAATGACCTTTAGGAAATAATATGCATAGGCTTGTAAGTTAAAGGGATTGTGTTTATTATTTAAAGAGGTGGTCCAGAGTGTATTTTTAAGGCTGGGTTGTGTTTATAAGATGCAAAGCAATGTGTGCCCATGCTTCATTTAAAGAAAATCACATCGTTTTTTCATATATTCTACTTTGATTATATACAGCTACTCAGCTAACATGAAAACCACTCATATTTCCTAATAAGGCCCTTAAGAGGCTCTGATTTGTCAGCTATTATAGTGTGCTGTGATTCGCAGATCAGCTTCACATTACCAGGAAGCGTCTCTGTTTAACATTACAGCACCTCTGGCCACACCCCTACGCTACACTTGGTGTGTTTTATTTAATTTTTTTATAAACTTTTATTAAGAAAAGAAGAAATGTACAATATAAATCTGAAAGTCATCAATAAAAGACTGGAATACAAGTACATACAAGTACAACGTGATAAGAACAAGTAACAAATAAGAAATAGAAAGACATAACAAAGAACAAAATAAAGAAAGGAGAAGTACAAAATTAAATAAAACACAGAAAGCATCTAGAAACTTACTGGAAGCATGATGTTTTCATAGGTTTCTATTAACCTGCAGAATTTTTGCTTGTTAGATAAACGGATAGCTTTAAGCAAGGAATCAATTTGAATTAAAAAGTGAGCAAACGTGGGAGAAGATTTAAGACTTTTTTATTTGTGGATAAAGAATTTCACATATAATATAAAAAAGTTATATACATATATTCTTTGTTTTAATTTTTGGACTGGAATAATGACAAATAATATCTTTCAATTTAAAGATTTGTTTTGTTGATTGTGATTTATATAAATAATTATATAAATCTGACCAAAACTTTTGTAAGATTGAACATGTAAAAAACATGTGAGCTGCACATGGTGTATGTGCATAACCTGAAGTGTTTATGACATCATTAACCCAGATTTTTTTTTTTGCAGTCCCTAAACTTCATTCGCTGTAGGCTTTGCTAAGCTAACTCTGTAAAAGCCAATGTCTTTCTTTGCATTGAACTTTGACTGTAATACATTCAGCAATGTTGTTTATGTTCACACAGCTACATTACACATCAACTAAAATGTAACATATGATATCGCAGTGGACCACCCCTTTAATTATGAAGGGACTCATTTTTTATACAAAACATTATATAAACTCACAGGACTCTGGTCTCATTATATGGAGTTGTTAGAAAAATTGTTAGCAGTACACTGTAAAAATTAACTACATTTGTAATTATTACATTAACGGTTTCCTGTATTAAGTGATTTATACGTGTTTTCAGTTTATTTACACTTCCCAATTTCATTATGGGACCTTGATCTCAGATATAACAGTTTTTGTTGAAATTGCTAAATGATGAAAATGTAACTAATTTCACATTTTTAGTAGTTTGAAAAAATATATATTGTGTAGCATTTATTCATTCATTCATTTTCTTTTCGTCTTAGTCCCTTTATTAATCCGGGGTTGCCACAGCAGAATGAACCAGCAACTTATCCAGCACGTTTCACGCAGCGGATACCCTTCCAGCCACAACCCATCTCTGGGAAACACCTATACACACTCATACACTACGGACAATTTAGCCTACCCAATTCACCATGTCTTTGGACTGTGGGGGAAACAGGCGCACCCGGAGGAAACCCACGCGTACGCAGGGAGAACATGCAAACTCCGCACAGAAACGCCAACTGATCCAGCCGAGGTTCAAACCAGCGACCTTCTTGCTGTGAGGTGACAGCACTACCTACTGCGTCGCCGTGTTTCAATTATACACAACTAAATCATTACAAAAATTACACTTGCTGTTTGTACTGTTTGACCAATGCAGAAAAAAATATTTAAATGTAAAATGTCAATATAATTCATAAAGTTTTTAAGCATATAACATAGTCAGTGAAGATCAAGACCCCATATTAAAATTCAAAAGTGTAAATAAACTAAAAACAGTTCTAGACTGTTGAAGTACTCAGATATCTCGTCCATAAAGTTTTTCCATATATAAATTTGTGTGGCATGGTGGCACAGGGGTTAGCACCATCACCTTACAGCATGAAGGTTGCTAGATCAAATCCGAGCTGGGCCAGTTCCCATTTCTGTGTGGAGTTTGCATGTTGCATGTTCTCCCCATGTGCTCCGGTTTCCCCCACAGTACACATGAATTGAATAAACTAAATGGTCTGTAGTGTATGAGTGTGTGTGAATGAGTCTTTCTCAGTAATGGGTTGCGGCTGGAAGGACATCCACTGTGTAAAACATATGCTGGATAATTTGGCGGTTCCCTCCGTTGTGGTTACCCCTAATAAATAAGGGACTAAGCCGAAGTAAAATAAATGAATGAATATATAAAACTGCATAAGTGATAAAGATTGGCTGATCTTTGGTAGTTCCTTTGGAGTCATCACAAGCAAAAATTTCTCCATATTTATTTAAGACAACAGTGAACCAGTTTTTCTTGTTGTTTTATGTGACGTTTGACAATAATATGTCATCATTACAAATCATACATTGTTTTTGCATTCAGAAGATGCTGAAATTTCCTACAGCATACAATTAGGCTGACTTGTTTAAAAACGCAGGTGCTAACAAGTTTGCTAACCTCAAACAACTTTTGTATTTAACCAAATTTTTCCATCAACCAAACAAAAATAAGCATGTTAATTTAATTTATACTGTAGGTGATAAAGTCACTTATGAATAATTTAAGCTTTAAGTTGTAAGTTACAAAGCCGTAGCCAACGTCTCTTCAAGTATCAACAACCCACCTTATTGTTGTTCACCGCTGTAAACAACTGAAGGAGGAAAAAAGAAACAACTGAAGGGAATTTCCGACGGACCACGTGAATTATCTTCCGGGTTTGCTACAAACTAAAACCATAGTGAACGGTTCTGAAATCCAAACTGAATCTAAAAGAAACGCTAGCATCCTTTTACCTCACATAACCTCTTTTAAAATTCAAATAAAAGTGAAGAAAGCTTAAGCAAGCTGCATATCAAGATGGTAGTCATCCTGGTGCATTTAACCTTGTGGCTCTTAAATAATCGCAACGTGACATTAAATGAACTTGGATTAATATGACACTGGCTGCTCGGGAACAATGAAGGCCAAGCTGCTCAAGCACAAACACTCTGATTGATGGTGTTCAGTGTTGTCTTAATAATGAAAAAAGCAAACGTCTTATTATCGTGTAATGAGCTTTTATATTTATTGAAGCCTTTTCTCAGCCTACTGGTCCTTCACTTTATCGCCTCCAAGTGGCCTCACTCAGGCTCGGAGGAGAACAATGGCAGGAGCGGTTGTTTTCTCACCTGTCAGGCTGTCGTAGCACTCGATCTCGGTGCTCTCCACCGCTCGCCGCTGCTCCTCCGTCAGCTTGGCCGCTGCTTGATTCAGGAGATTCACCTCGGATCCCGTGGTCCCGTCGACGACGTGGATCCCTTTCAGCTGCAGAAGCGCCCTGTGATACTTCCCAATCGCTTCCCGGAATTTCTTCTCCTTGTAGCATCGGTGACCCTCCAGTTTGAAGTCAATCGCCTTCTGTATTTTCGCCTCCATGTCCATCTCCGCGCCGCCGACGCGATACCCTACGCCGCCACCGCCGTCCCCACCCGCCGCCGCTGCCAGACTCCGGCCCCCGGCCTCCGGATAGCTCTTCAGGCTCTTGATCGAGTGCTGCTTCGCCTCCATCTCGCTCAGGAAGCCATGCTGCTCCGACACGGGTGCCTGTGTTCTCTTGCAGGGCTGGAGCAGCGTGCTGTGCATAAAGGATGCGAGCTTAAAAACACAAACGCGAGCGGGGAGGATCTTCCAGGAGGGATGCAATCACAACATCAAAGACTTCCAGATGTAATAACTCGCCGAAGAATGCAAACAAATAAGCGACCGCGGGTGTTTGCCGTCGAGCAGCGTGTTACGCCTTTGCACGGAGGTGATGCTGGAGCGGGAGGACTCTTCTATTGCCGCCGGCGAGAGCAGCTTCAGCACCACAGACAGCGCCAGCGAGCACGAGCGCGAGGCATTATGGGAAGGAATTAATCGTGAGATGATGCTGCTACTGGTGGATCACGATTGCATTAAAGGGGAGCGGTAAATCTCCACACGTCGTGAAGCCAAAAATAAATAAATAAATAAGAAGGCTGCCCGTCTTTACGTCACTGTGATTAAAATTCACACCGCTGCAACACTGTGTGGAATCCCGTTTGGGAAATCCGGCTTAGTGTTGTGCAAGATGAGATCATTATTAGCAGGTTGATGAGTTAACGTGGTAAATGCATTACCAGGAGGACCAGCTGCTAGCCTTAGCAGCCAAGAGCAGGAGAGGACAAAAAGACATGCTAAAATGCTTCATGATGCATGGAAAATGTGTCCTTAAATTGCCTTCCAGACTAAAAAAAAAGAGAACGTCTCCATGTGAGCTTGATTAATTTGCCTGGCAAAAACTGAAGGCTGAAAAGCTCATTTAATAGCTCTCATCTAAAGGCTGAGTGGGCAGGTTTGTTATAAAGGTCATGAATGAAACGGCATTGATGGTAGCAAAAAGATGCTCTTTATACTGACACAAAATACAAATAAATGTTTTTGCTGTGGGTAAAACTGATGTTTGAAGGTTTAGAGATATAACAATAATCTAAAGACAAAAGCTGACAGGGCAGTTTTGCTATGAAGGTCATTGATGAAATAGTATTGAATAGGGCTGAGCTGATAAACAATGTTATATCAAAACGCGATAAAATTTCTGCCGATAATAGTGATAAGCTCGGGCCTTTTTTAACTCGATGTTGATCTTAGAGCCAATCACCCAGCAGAAATTTACAACATAGGGAATTTAGAAGTGTATTGTTATTGGAGATGCACTGAATTTTAGGCCACCAAAAATTTGCCAACAAAAATAGGTTATGCTTAATCAACCTGCTCATTATAATTTTTTATTTTTTTTGTGGCTCTAGTCATTGTTGGGATACTCATTTAAATCTGAGAGCATTAACAACTGATATCGAAATATATATCGTTACCGTTCAGTATGGAAAATAATTAATTGAGATGGCATTTTTGCAATATCGTTAGGCCCACACAAAATCTGCGTGCACAGATTTCTGCAGATTTTAAGCCCATCGAGTCTACTCATTTACTTGTGTGAATTTATATTTGTTTATAAATTTATTTCACTGATATTATTGTAATATAATAATAGTAATATTAAATTGTTTATATGATTTATTTACAATGCAAATTGTAAAGTAATAGTTTCTGTCTTTTACTAGATATATTATATGATAGACTTGCTTTGTTTATCAAATAAATGTATCTAATTAAAATTACATTATAAAATTTAATATATTAAGTTTGTAGTTATGATACTCCCAAAAACATTCTGCATAAATCTGAAGATTTTTCTACAAAATTCGCTTTAGAAATAGCAAAAAATGTCTGCAGATTCTGTCTGGCCCTACATATCACCCATCCCTAACTGAGAAATGTAACAAAATATACTGTTTAAAACATAAAAATATGAATAAATCAGATCTGTGTAGTTATATTCTGTGATAGCTAGGCTAAATTAATAACAGAAAACACAAAGTCAGCACTGACAGGCAAACGCTAAACAGTGATGAACTGCTAAAGTCCTCTTACAAATGGCTCAGTGTGCTGCAACACTGGAGACATAAGGGCTTGTGGAGTCCTCACCATCTGTGCTATTTACCAGCACACACATTAAAGGCAGTTTTGTAGCTGGCACATCCACATGGACTCATCTATCCTTTCATTTTGAAGAGATGTGGAGGGAAAACACAATAACTTTCAACCATACAGTGTGCAGAGCAGATTCTTTGAGATTTGGTTCAGATTTTGTAGAACTGACTCCCCTTCAATCTGAGATAGAGCTGTAATAATTGTGACAAAGCTAGAATATGCTCTGAACCCCAGTTAAAGTTATGTTGAAATCAACACATTTCATAAAAAGATAATAAAAGAAACAATACAGGAGATTTGTTTCATCTTTTTATATTCAATCCATTCCCAAGACAAATAATCTTCAATATTATAAACTTACCCAGTTAAAATGTGTTTTTCCCTGTATCTCATATTATTCTTCAAACATAATGAAACGAAATTCAACATTTGAGATGCTTCAAATGAAAATATTTATAAAAAAAAAACATAAGAAAACATGACAAAACACAGATTGTGAAGGTAAATTCCTATTACAAAAGGTTGACTGTTGGTTACTGTAGTAAACAGTATAAAGGGGTGAAATCTTACACAATACACAAGGGTCCCCCTCCAGGTGAGTTGCTTGGCAACAGCATTTCAATACCAAAATTATATTCACTCTGCTTGGCCATAAAATACACCCGTTGGCAAAAAGTATGGAATCACCACTCCTGAAAGATGTTCATTCAAATGTTTGTTGAAAAAAAAAAAAAAAACAAGCACATACATGCCACAAAACTATTTTCATTAAACAATTCAATCTTCTGCCTTTGATTTAAACACTTAAAAAGCACACACACAAACAAAAAAAGAACATTTAAAAGTTTTTTTTTTTTTTTTTTTTTTTACAGTTTTACAGAGGAAGAAATCTGTAATCACACAAATTAGACGAAAAATATGTGTAAAAATCACCAAATAAAAACACCACTAGTACTTTGTTGCACCACCTCAGGCTTTTATAACAGATTGAATTCTCTGAGGCACAGATTTAAATATAGACAAATAGTATTCTTCAACAATCTCTCTCCAACTTTGTCTTATTGCAGTTGCTAGATCAGCTTTGCAGGTTGGAGCCATGTCATGGACTACTTTCTTTAATTTCCACCACAGATTTTCAATTGGATTGAGCTCTGGACTATTTGCAGGCCATGCCATTGACATTATATTTCTTTCCTGCAGGAAAGTTTCTACAGATTTTGTCCTATGGCATGATGCATTATCCTGAAAAATTGAATATCTGAATATGACTGAATAGCACTCATTTCCAGTTTTCCGCAGTCCATGACTGCCTTTCTTCAGCCCACTGAAACTTTGTTCTTTTCTGTTTACATTGTTTTCACTTGGCTTTTCTGTATGTAAATGCCATTACTTTTAGGCGATTTCTTATAGTCCGATCAAAGACATTGACTCCACTTGTTCCTCATTTGCTTTGTTGAGTATTTTCTGTTTTGAAGGCATATTGCTTTATGTTTTCTGACATCTTCCTTGGTCTAGCAGTACGCTTCACTTGTACATTCTTCCCATTGGTCCAGATTTTAGACACAGCTAATTGGGAACAATTAACATCTTTTGCATAATTTAGTGAAGATTTACCTTCTTTGAGAAGTTTGATAATCCCCTCCTTTGTTTCAACTGACATCTCTCGTGTTGGAGCCTTGAGTTATGTCAAGAAGCTTGGTTCAACACCTCAATAACATTTTTTTTAACTGCGGACTAATTAGCAGTTGTAATCAGATACAGTTGTTTGTTTTAAAACTGCAAAGTACGTGGTGATTTCTATATATTTTTCCTCTATTTAATCTGTGGTAACAGTTGTAATTGACTACAATGTTCTGTTTTTTGTGTGTGTTTTGATACAGCCAGAAGGTTAGATTGTTTTATGAAAATAGTTGTGGCATGTATGTGCTTTAATTCTTTTTCTACACAAACATTTGAATGCATTTCTTCCAATAGTGGCGATTCCATACTTTTTGCCAGGAGTTGAACTTAACGCACATTTCTATTGGATTACATTTCAAAAGTGTCCCTTTAGCACGCTGATTGTGTTTTTAAGTAACAGTTATGGTCATAAAGAGCAGTCACATAACATTTACCAATTCCATTCATAAGCATGCGAATGCAAGAAAAGCGGAAACAAAAGTTTCACATTTTGTCATGTTTTGATGTGCAGTTTGAGTGAACTCTGACCTGCAAATTCATATTTGTGAAACATCAAGGATATGTCATGACGTGATCTCCTATCTGAACACCAGAGACTATGCAATGTTGAACAAAAGGATCACAGAACGCACATGATTTTTACATTATTAATGTAAAACTTATGCTTTGCAGTGTGACCGCAGCTTACGGTGGATTGATTGAAATCAGTTTTAAGCCATTAAGACCTGATTTAATAAACAGAGCAAATGAGTCCACAATCCCATAAAAGCAAATATGGGACTGGAAAGTTTTGCAGGAGATCTACAGCCAGTGTACAAACTAAAGAATGTAAATGCACCAGCTCATTCCATAATGACAGGCATGGGTGGATCTACTTACAACACAAGGCATGCTTTTTTCGGGTGTTAAACAACGGAGCACATCAGTAAATTGACTACTATAAACTTTGTCACTTTTATTGTTGAGGTTTAAATGCCAAAAGAGGGTGAGTTAGTGTCAGTATTTGTTTTTCTTTAATATAAAGATCCTCTAAGGCCCCGTTTACACTGCCAATTAAATATGACCCAATCCTGATTTTTTGCTCATATGTGACACAGATCAGATCTATTCTATGACCGTGTAAACATGAAAAAAAAACACATGCATTCGGATATTCAGAGATCGGTTTCAGGCCTCCTTCATATGTGGAAATAAATCAGATATAGATTGGATATGTGACAATGCGACTGTCAAGTAAACAGGGAAATGGGATTTATTAAGGCATTCCGTTCTGTCCATCATTAAACTTGCAACAATGTGGTGCTTCTCAGTGGTTTAATGACAGAAAGAAGAGCGTGTTTGGAGATGCCGACGCGGTAAACAACATCAAAGGAAACAGAGGAGGAAAGTGAAGTGGTCAGTCGCCACAATTTGCTCCCACCAGACCTGAGATCTCCCTCATACCCACAAATTCCTCCGAATGGTGGAGGACATCATAAAGCATATAAACCACAAGCGCAAGCTGCGATGATGGCCCTTTCCCACCTCTGCCTCAAAATCATTTTAAAGCTGGGCGAACTTCGTGTTGTAACTTTTGCTTTTTGTTGCTATTAAAACACGCACAGCGGCCTACACACAGAATAACTTTATTCTCTCCAACACCAGTGCGCACACAGGCAATGGCTACATCTTCAACTACACACACATATCAGAGCCATACCATTACATAAACTGTGTGGGGGTAAATCTGGACTAAACCATTCACTGCTTATTCTACACTTTGCATATTTCGCCGAGCTAAAAACAAGACAATTTCTTCCATAGTGGCTAGTGTGGCGCAGACGCTAGAACCCGCCTTTATGCATGCATGACATCGTAAATTGTATGGCAAGTGTAAACGCATGAACTGGATATGGGTCACAATTAAAACAACGTGTAAACAGACAGGAAAACAAATCAGATATAGGCAACAAATCGGAATTGGGTATCAAGACCTGGCAGTGTTAACAGGGCCTAAGTCAGTGGTTCTCAAACTGTGGTACATCTACCACTTGTGGTACGCAGGCTTCCTTTGAACACACTTTTAATCATTTGTCGCGTACGATAACACCAAAGTGATCAGTAAATTAATTTTAATTGGCTAAACCTTTAATTTAATTTTTTAAATTTTCTAATGTTTGTTATGTATTCTATCATTTGAAGTTTTTTTCCTCCCCATATTTGTAACGATTGTTGGGGCGTATCCCGTATTTTTATATCCCAACGTTGACAGGTATAATCACTTGCTTCTCTGACATACAAAGCACACTCTAAGGTGCAGTAAGCAGATCAAATTTCTAATTTAAATATGTAAATCCAATTCATGTATTTAAAATACAAGTTAATGTTTTTAAAGATATACAAATATATTTGATATTTACAAACATTTGAGCTCCAAGAAGCATTTGCAGGTTTTGGTGAATAGGCAACTATATGTTAATACTTCACATTTAAGTACAGCAGTTTTCTTTTTACTTTTTAGGAACAGTGTCATTTTTTAATTTTACCTTCAAGCACAGTACAGTGTTATTGTTCAAACTATTTATTATGTTTAATGTGGCTGACAATAATAAATATTTATAATAATAAGAATTAATCTGCCACGTTTGTGAACTGTGCAGTGCTGCAGCTGCCTAACTAGGCCTACTATGTATTTCAATACCAGTTATTATGGTGATACTTGGAGAGACTATTTTTTCTGAGGTGGTACTTGGTGAAAAAAGTTTGAGAACCACTGCTCTAAGTTATTAACCTGGGAGTTATTGTTTTTTGTTTATCCATATTTGCATTATTGATCCTGTAATGAATCCTGTGGTCTGTTTCAGGATGCCCTGAGCGTGCACTTATCCCAGCTATCTACACCGAGTTTAACACAGCGGCATAATCTCATCATGGATCAGCAGATTAAAGACCAAGCTGCTTCTTTTCTGTTATCCTGGCTTTCTTAGTTTTACTTTTGTGCAATACACCTCTGTTTTTTTAGTGCCTAAACTGATTTTCACTGGATCAACAAAAACAACATCTCACTATTGTATATTCCACTAAAGAGAGTAGGTCAGTGTTTTGGAATGACATACTGGGTGAGTAAATCACAAACTCATAATTTTTGGTTGAACTATCACTTTTAAAACATAGAGGTAAGAGGATGGTTAAACATAAGCTTACTTTCTGTGAGCTGAGGTGTTTGTGGTAAACATAGCACATGCTTTCACTTACGTCTCTTAGCAAATGTAGGGTGGAGAACAAAAAGAAGGCATTTCTAGGATTTGATTCGGGGCACCATGCTTCAAAAATATAGTTACAAAGCCCCCCTTTAATCCTTTAAAAACCTTTCACTCACTGGGGCGTAGGAGAGTCACTATAAAAGTAAGAGACCGGGATAAAACATGTTTCCTATAACCAAACAGAAGTACGACAGGTATGTCCACGCTGACTTTTAACAGATATTGCAGCTCTTCTTTTTTTGTTTGTCCCCTACTTTCAAAATCAAATCACTCCATGAGGTACAGCATATCGACAACCTATTTCGTCCACGTTTTTTTCTCTCAAATAAAAATTCAGGTGAGTTTTAGGTTATAAAAGGGGCAAACTGATTAAAAAAGGAACCTTTTTCAGTTTTTTCGGGCACCCAGTCTCTTGAACACACTGACCGCCCCAGCGTCCATCTGAGCCCCGTGAGTGTCGCCTGTGCTACTACTGACCTTCGGGCTGGCCAGAGCAAAGCTGCCCTGACTTTTGCTTCTGCTACTCGTGACTCGACTGTCCTGGGTGTCCGTGGACTGACTGACTGGAGGGGTGGAGGAGGTAGGCTTGACTGACGGGGCTTTGCCCAGTCTCTGCAGAATGCCAAGTTTGGGTGTCCCCTGCTGGTTAGAGGAGGAGGTAGAGGAGGAGATGGGTGCTGAGGATTCAGATGGAGGGAGTTTGTATTTAGCGCCTAGTCGCCGCAAAGTGAGCGGTTTCGATTTGTTGGTCACACTGTCTTTTTTAGAGGATGGAGGGGGTCTTTTGAGGACTCCGGCGTACTGCAGCACTGAGCCCTCACCGTCACTGTCATTGTCCTCAAAGGTGTCGGTAACACCATCTGTCTTTTCTCCACTCTCTTCATCGTCCTCCGTTTCACCCAGTCGGCTAAACACACCTGTTGGCTGCTGCACAACAGAAGAGAAGACAATGAATTAGTAAGCCAGGATATTCAGCAGTGTCACTGCACTCAAATAAATGAATACCGCTGCTCGTTCAAACTACCTGTTTAAAATGAGTCAAAACGACACAATTCGACACAAAATTTATTTGTTTAAATTTTTTAAAAATTCAGTTAACTTAAGTGTTTTGTGCTGGGATAACATGAAAGAATTGTGTTGGTCCTACTATCTGGTTAGGTGATTTGTCGTTCCCAGCATGCTTTGCGTGGGATTGTATTAAGAGAGGGAAATGTTGACAATAAAAGTAATCTTAAGTGTTTAAAGTTAATAGAAGACTTGTTAGTTTAACCTTCATTTTAGTTTGAAGATTTAGAAAAGTTGGTCCCACTTTATATTAAGTGTCCTTAACTACTATGTACCTACATCAAAATTTAAATACAATGTACTTACTGTGTTTATAATGTATTTGAGAACACGTGGTGCTTTTGAGTTGGGATAGAGGTTGGGTTATAGACAGGTTTGGTGGCATGGGTAGGTTTAAGGGTGGGTTAAAGTGTAAGGGATAGTCAACAGTGTATTTACAAATGTAATTCCAAAAGTTAATTGCAGATGTAAATACATACATGTATTTAATCAAGCATAAGTACATAATAAATACATGTATTTACACAATTAGTACATTGTAACAAACTATTAACTCCTCTGTAAGTACATATTAGTTAATGCCACTTAATATAAAGTGGGACCGAAAAGTTTCATGTAATGCTTTGAGTTTTGAGATTACCACCTTGCAGAAGCACCCATGCTTTGAGTGTTGGCAGGTTAATTAGCAAAACTGCAGTTTGTTGCTTTGCTCAGTGAGCAAAAACTGTCCTAAAATTTGTTTTGAAATCAGTCTCAATCAACCGCATATGTAATTCATGAAATATGCTTAAAATTGCCTATTTTAGTATTTTAGTTTATTTAGACACATAATAGTCATACATGATATTATCAGACCATTGAGTTTACGTCAAATAAAAATACAAATGTATTTAAACTTTTACCTGATAAAAGTGTGTTGAATCACCTCAATTGCATCTAATTGTGTAAATATATATATACATACATATAAATATATGTATATATATTTTTTTGGTGCTTAAGATATTGATTGAATGAAAATCCTTCCCTAAATTAAATCGACTTCATCTAATGAGTTGTTTTAGAGTGTGGTAGCAACATTTTATAATAAATCACTTCAGTTGCAATGCTACAGGAATCATGAATGAACTAATAGTATACTTTTACTACCAGTTTCAGAGACAAGGCTTAAGACTATACTAGACTGACTGACCAGTTTTAACTGGAAATAATTTGCAAAAACATCTTAAAATACAGGTTTTATCTCAAGATGCATAAGTGGTAATGTCATTTTTATAAAAGGTGCTTAATCAGCCTGTGTATAAAATGTACTCGCTATTTACTCTCCCTCAAGTAGTTATGAGTTTCTTTCCTTGTGAGTTTCTTTCTTCTGTTGAACACAAAAGAAGATATTTTGGGAAAAAAAAACATGCAAACATTAATTTAAACACTGAGTTACATTATTGGAAAAATAAATACTATGGAAACCAATGGTTACAGGTGGTCTGCTTTTCTCAAAATAGCTTTTGTATTTAACAGAAGAACAAAAAACAAGTTTTTTATTTTTTTTTAACAAGAAAGAGGTGAGTGAATGATGACAATTTTCAGTTTTGGGTGAACTATCCTTTTAAGCCAAGCCACCAGTCATAATGTAAACGCCATGTTTTGGTACCATGGCAGAGAGGCAGGTCATCACTTTTAAAAATCTTTTTATTCATTGCTCCATGCTGATGGAATTGTGGGACTTGTGGAGCTGCACATTGATAGATTTGCTCTTAAGTGTTTGGACTTTAAGCAGTGAAAACTAAACCACACTGAACTGACCTAAATTGAACTTGACTGACAGTTTCAATTTGAATTTCCTACAACTTCTATGTTAAGCAGCTTTGACACAATCTACATTGCAAACACACTTTAGAAATAAAGATGAATAGAATAGGAATGACCTTCAAATTCCCACACGGACAGCAGATTCACTTGTATTATTTAACCGACAGCTAAAACCCCATCTCTTCCGCAATCACCTAAACCCTGTGAATAAAACCAGAACCCTCTCTTTTCTGTCACTCCTTACCACACAACAACCCCAAACTTAGTGTGCCTCAAACAGGTGAGTGGGCTTGACAAACCACCTTTAGAAAACACACTCTTTCACCTTTTCTGGCACTTTAACCGACACTTGCACAATCACATTCTAAAAAAAACAACACAAAAACAATTTCTCACCTTAGTGGCGGAGGTAGTGTCTGCTTTAGACTCTGCCCCAAGTCTGTCAAAAACTGAAGTACGCTTTAAAACCTTGGCTGTGGTAATGAAAGTGGACATTATGAGAAGACATCAATCGGGACCAACTGTTAATCAGGGTATCTGCACATTTTTTAACAGAAAATTTAAGACCTTTTAAGACCTTTTTAAGTCCTCTAAAATGAAAATTTAAGACTTTACCTAAAAAAAAAAAAAACAGGAAAATGTTCAGTGTGAACACAGAATGATGTGGTGAAGTATGGCGGCAAATCTATGGCGGCAAATCAATGGCAATATAAATCGAGCGCAGCGGTGATGTTTGCGCGCGAGGAGAAGTGAACCGTGAGCAGATTACTTGGTTGACTTGGTTTACTTGTTATCTCTAACGCTATTGGCTACTGTGCCTTTCCGGAAGTTAGCCGGGATTGGACGCAAGTTAAAAGATCATGCCATTAAATATATATACAATTTGCAAGTCATAATCATAAGAAACTTTCTGAGAACTTTATGAACTTTATGAGGATTCAATCTCGAGAAACAGTCAAATAATATCCAAAATAATGACTTGCATTCTTGTAACATGACTTTCTGAACCCATTTGATTTGTCCGTGCAGCACTTGTCTGGTTTGTTGTATTTTACTTCATTATTAACCACAACAGCAGTGCTCATTATTACACTTGGGGATGATCTTTCTAGGAAATATTGTCTTCAGAAGAGTTTATTTGCGTTTTAGATCTTTCCATACAATGCATACTATATGTGCAGTGCAGCTTTGTATATTATTATAATTGTTAACATTGTTTGTAATATAGATCAGTGTAAAATATATATATCTATATATATTATATATATTTTTCAATCTCATTTTTAGTTAATGATTGAATAACCTGCATATAAAGACTTCAATCAAAAATGATTAGCCCAATTAAACATAAAAAATACAGTGACAGACATTCAGATGGGTTTTTATCGCCACCTATTGAGCAACAATTTAATTTCTACAGTCTTCGTTTGGCTTTACTCACTATCCATTACATCATTCCACTTCAGAGGCATACAAATACCACTTTCTATACAACAGGCCCACATCTTAAAGGTCACATATGCAGTTGAAGTCAAAATTAGTAGCCCACTTTTTTCTTGTTTTATTTCGGCTAGAATAAAAGCTGTTTTAATTTTTTAAAACCCATTTTAAGGTCCATATTATTACCCTCTTTAACCTATTTATTTTTTTCGAAAGTCTACAGAACAAACCATCGTTATACAATAACTTGCCCAATTACCCTAACCTGCCTAGTTAACCTAGTTAAGCCTTTAAATGTCACTTTAAGCTGTATAGAAGTGTCTTGAAGAATATCTAGTCTAATATTATTTACTGTCATCATGACAAAGATAAAATAAATCAGTTATTAGAAATGAGTTATTAAAACTATAATGTTTAGAAATGTGTTGAAAAAAATCTTCTCTCCGTTAAATAAAAATTAGGATAAAAATAAACAGGGGGCTATTAATTCAGGCGGGCTAATAATTCTGACTTTAACTGTATAGTGGAATAACAGACTAATGGCAATATATTTACTATAAAACTTTGTACTTTATGCACTGCATGCATGTATAGCCTATTTTGTATACTATTGTCCATCCAGTTTATTCTGACTTGTTCTTCACAGAAAATGAGTCAAGGACAATGAATCTTAGAAAAAAAAAAAGATTTTTGTAAATTTGAACACGTTTGGCTTGAGTTCAGTTTAAATGTAGGTGCTAAACTTCATCAAATGGTTCAAAACACATTTAAAGTCTGAATTATTCGTCCTGAATTATTAGCCCATGTATATTTTCCCCAATTTCTGTTTAATGGAGAGATCTTTTGCCACATGGTATAACTCTCTCTTTCTCTCCCAAGTAATAAAGTTTGTTACAAGAATATATCTCATTATTTTGATATGTCATTATATGACTTGGTCATGATGGTAAGAATAGGCATTATTATGAGATTAATTATTACAAAAAATATCTCATTATTGAAAGTAAGTCTCCACCTATTATTACTGAGAAAGTAAGTCTATGTTTCACACTGTGACATTATGATAAGATTTCCTATATAATTTTATTTAACGGGGAAACTAGCTTACCTGCGTCCAATCCCGGCTAACTTCTGGAAAGGTAGAGTAGCCAATAGCGTTAGAGATAACAAGAAAACCAAGTCCCGCCCCAGGACTCACAAAAATATAAATTGTTTCGCGCGAGCAGAGAGAAGAACCAGCGAGCGAGCGGAGAGAACTGATCGCGCGCGCGCTGTAGGCATGACCTCGCTCGCGAGAGCGTACATCGTGCGCACAGATGATAATGTGCACGCGCGGGACTTGTTTTCTCGCGCTGGATCAGTTGAGCGCGCGCGTGAAGATCCCCTGTGCGCTCGCGAGCTGTACTTTTCTCGCGTGTAGACCTGTAATCTGCTCACAGTTCACTTCTCCTCACGCGCAAACATCACCGCTGCGCTCGATTTATATTGGCATAGATTTGCCGCCATAAGACGAGTCGGACATGATATTTAAGATCCCACATGAAATTTAAGACCTCCTTATGGAAAATTACAGAATTTAAGACATTTTCAGACCTTAAAAATCGAAAATTTTATTTAAGACATTTTAAGACTTTTTAAGGACCCGCGGGGACCCTGTTAATTTACAGCTGAGAAAATCTATTTAATTTCTTTAAATAAAGCAGTTTCAACAAATATTTTAAGGTACCTTTCTTATCCTGCTGTTCCAGGATGCGTCGAGTGCGAGCTGTTGTACCTTTTGGCATGTTTATGATGTATTTCCCTTCCATTTCTCTAGTGACTCGTCTGCGCTTCACTTGCAATCCATTTTCTTCAGCTGGTTTGCTGGGCGCTGCAAGGGGTAAGGAAAAGAAACTAAGTTTTAAATCATGCTATTCCATTTATATAGTTAATACAAACTCTAATGAATTTACTGTGTGTACTGAACATTTATTTTGCATTGAAAGACATTTATTTCTCTTTTAAAATCAGCAAATATGCTTTACATTGGTAAAAAAAAAAAAAACTGAATACGTTACGTTATTTCTATTTCAATCAAAAGCATTTTTAACAAGGTACACTTTTTTGTTTTAAGAATCCTCCAAAAAACTAAGTGTTCTACAAAAATAATAATAGCTAAAGCTGGCCAATTAATTGAAATTGACATTCAGAACTTAATCAATTACATTTTTCCAGGTGAATTTTTTTTTTCAATTACTTTCCCTACCACATGTGGAGTCATGTGACCCTGCTCTGTTAGCCACACTTTGTAGCCACATCTGACATCTGATCAAGTAGGATGATGGATCCATTCTTGAGCCTTACTCTGCACTACATTGACGATGATTGGAAGCTGAGCTGAGAAGCCTTGAGACAGAATATTTACTATTACATTAAATGTATTATTTATATGAAAATATCTGTTTACAGATATTTAAGATGCAGGAAATGCAGTTTAATCTATTATTTACAGGATATAAAAGAGTTGTTTTATTTAGAAAATATCCTGCTTATTTTCTACTTTTAATATAAAAACCACTGAAAATAATTATTTTGCTTCCAAAAGTGCAAGTTTTTTTAATTCCACTTTTATATAAGTAAAAAGTGATTGCTTGTTTTAGGTAATGAGCGTTTTAATTTCAGTTGGTCAACGTTGATGTTCAATAAATAATCATGGATAGTAGATATTGTTTTCTTCAATTGTTTTAAAATCATTTATTCAAAAATCTCTCACTTGTAATATGTGAGCATATTTACTGTACAAAACCTGTCAGTGAACTATAAGGGCAAAATAATTAATTAAATAATTAAATAAATAAATAATTAAACAAAATAATCGTTCATTAATTGTAATCATGTTAAAATATACAATTAATTGAGATTTTCATTTTAGGCCCAATTGCCCAGGCGTAATAAGATCTAGCATTCTGGAGAATGATTTATAAAGGGTAATTCTGTATTTCCTTTCCTTTTTATTCTTAATTACAAGTCAAATATTTTAATCAATAAAATATATATAAAAAATAAAAAATAATAAAATATATTTAAAAACATTTATTTAATGTATATATTTAATTAATGGGGCGTAAATCCAGTTAGTAAACAATTATAAATATTTGGGTGTGATGTTGGACAATAAAATGAAGTGGGATGTATGGACTGATTGTGCAAGGAAAAAGCTTCAACAGAGACTGTACTTCTTAAAGAAATTAATGTTGTTTATGTTGACAACACATTGTTGATCATGTTTTATAGTGCTTTCATTAAAAGTATTGCAATATTTTGTGTAATCTGTTGGTATGGAAATGCTTCTGAGGCCCAGAAGCAGTCACTAGGGAAGGTGTTAACAACAGCCAGTAAGTTGTTGGGAATAAAACTATAGAGCATTGCTAGTATATACAAAGAAAGAAAACTAAATAAGGCTATCATGATTGTCAATGATGAGAGACATCCTTTATCAAACACCTTCCAATTGTTGCCATTAGGTCGTCGACATAGTGTTTCGAGGTGTGTAAGAAATAGTGTAACATGTCACAAATGTGTCATATTAGAACTAACTAACTAACTAACTAACTACCTATCTTTCAAAACAAATTTTAAAGTAATTTTATCTCTTTTAAAAATGCCAGACATGCACATTATATACAAATTGGCAAATCAACAGTGACAATCGGAGCAATCAAAGACCAGTATTTGAATTTAATAACAAAAAAAAAAAAACACTTCTCAAAAGTCTAATTACACTACCGGTTTTGGCACTGGCATTGGAGACGGTAACTGAAATTCGGTTGTCAGGCCGGCGAGCAGGCGTGCTTGGTGGGGAGTCCCGGCTCAGAGCATTGGCGATCATGCGTGTGGCAGCTGTCGGAGGAACATGAACATTACCAGTGCTACAGCTAAAGATAAATCACTCCCTGTATGCGCAAACAGCACAAAGACTGCACATGAAAGGACACAAGTACACACACTGTTGAAAGCAAAAATAATAGCCCTCCTTTTTAATTAAATATTACATTTGAATAATTTTTCAATATTTCCCAAATTCTGTTTAAAGGAGAGATTTTTTTTCCCAATGCATACTTTTAATGACTAATTTCTTTCAAATTTTTTTCTCTTTGCCATGATGACAGTACTTAACTTTCTTCAAGATACTAGTATTTAGCCTTAGTGCAATTTAAAGGGTTAGTTGGGTTAATTAGGATAAATAGGCAAGTCACTGGACAAAAGCAGTTTTTGTAGCCATAAAAAAAATTAAGGGAGCTAATAATTTTTCCCAGAAGAAAAAAAAAAAAGAGGAAAATGACGTCGCTCTGGTAAACATTACTTGGAAAATAATTAAAAAAATATAAACAATTTTAAAGAAAATTAAACCACACTGAACTGAACTAAATTTAACTGTAAATCTGAAAACTGAACTGATACAGTTGTAATTTCAATTTACTAGAACTTCTATGTTAAGCTAATTTGAATCAATCTACATTGTAAAAGCGCTAAAGCAACAAAAATACATTGAATTGAAATAATCTTCCTATTCCCACATGGACTGCAGATTCACTAGCAGTGTTTTTTCTAAGATTTTTTTCTAGCTGTGGTGGCAGGCCTTTTACACAGGTCACAGATCCAACTACTTAAGGCGTTATTTCAATGACAAACCTTGCGAGCGCAGTATTACAAGTCGAGATCACATTCATTTAATACAAGTATGCGGATATCTTTGCTTGTGCTTTTATTTCCTCTGTTCATGCACAAAACTTGTTAAACAAATAACGCACAGCACTACTACAATTATAGAAAAGTTCACGCTGTTCTAATTCACTTACTTTTTACTATGTTTTGATTATAACCTGCTATTAAAAAAAACAATGACTGCATGTTTTGAAGGAAAGGCTGTAATGTAGCCATGAAGGGATGAATTTTGGTGACTAGTATTATTTAAACGACAGCTAAAACCCCATCTCTTCCACAATCACTAACTAAATAAAGCATTTTTACCTTTTTTCCAAGAAGAAAAAAAATATTATAGGAAATACTCTGAAAATGTCTTTGCTCTGTTAAACTTTACTTGGAAAATAATTGAAAAATAAGAACAACTTCAAAGAAAGGCTCATAAATTTGCCTTCAACTGAATATTCAAAAGAACTTGATACTTCAAATACTCACGAGTGTTGGCAGTACGCCTCAGTTCAGCCTGTACACTAGTCTGTCCAGACGAAATGGCCTCAGTTGTCATTTTACACAGATCCTGAATTAGAAAAAAAAAAAAGCCAGAGTAGTTCACATTAAAAATAATGAAATCCGGAAATACACAGGTGCACATGAGAGGCAAGAATGTAAGGTATTTTTTATTTAATGCCATGTCAGCAACCGAGGCTATTTTCTTGGCAACAACATTTCAATAATAAATATACAATTAAAAACAACAAACAAATTAATACTTATATTGAATAAAAAATAAGCGCCAATACATGAATAAAATTCTAAAACTTTTCCTGGTACCACTTTGTTAAAAATGCCTTTAAATTTATTTTAAAAAACCTTCCGGTACCATTAAAATGTTCCACGCAGGTTTCTGCATCTTGTTTATATAAACTATGAACAGCAGCCATGCTAATTATTCTCTTTATTCTCTATTTCCACCTGGGTATACTCATCCCAAGGCCCTCAGAGACTATCCAGCGCCACTGATTCGATCCAAGACCAGTGACGAGATGATCCCAAGGTTTCCAAAGCCTGGATCAGGGCGTATCCTGAGCACCTGCTGTGGTGGTCATGGAGGAGTGGAGAGCATGAGACTGATTCCTGTGACGCTCCAGGGACAGAAGAGCTTTCGCTGAGGTCCAGCTTTCCAGCCTTCGGCGCCTAGACTGCAACTCTGCACAAGACGTTTGGCCAGAGGAGAAATGGCCGCGCCCAACTGAGCCTGGCTTCTCTCAAGGTTTTTTAATTCTGGGTTGGGGATCTGTAGAGCTGCACATCGATGGATTTGCTCTTCAGTTTGGACTTCCAGCAGTGAATATTAAACCACACTGAACTGAGCCAAACTGAAATGAACCTAAACTCTGAAAACTGAACTAAACTGTTTCAATGTGAAGCTTCTTTGACACAATCTACATTGTAAAAGGGCTATACAAATAATGATGAATTGAATTAAAAGCAGGACAGACAAGTAAAATGTTGAGAGACAAGAAGCCTTTCAGTGGTGAACCAATGCTTATACGAGCATCTACAGACTAGGGGCAGTGATAGAAGGTGATCATATTGATTTAACCTTTTCATAATAACATTAGTTATTTTTAGCACAAAGAATTATTTTACATAAATACAACATTTGTACTCACCTGTCTATACACATGCTTTGCATGTTTGAGAATGGCTATGATGTCTCCAATGACTGTGATTCCTAAGTCCATCATTATTTCTTTACTGAGGTCCATAAGCATATTTTTCTGAATCCTGAACAGAGAGAAGCAGTTAACGCTTTTATTTTATTTTTACAGGATGTTCACAGCATGTGCTGAGCAGTGCACTTTTGTTCAGAATGTTGTTTGTTCGCATTGTGGAAAAGACCTAATAAAGCACATGGGAGAAGTCAGACAGAAATGTTTGCACTTGTATGGTCGTGGTTCGTATTGTGTTTTCCAAAGTAGAGGTGTGAAAACACCCTGCTGAAACGAGGGGGTTTCATGGCCCTTTAAGAGCTGAGCAGCTTACAAGGTCCCAATTATTTTTCAATATGTCAAGTATGTTTGTGAGCTCTCGTCACAAAATTGTGCCTTCCATCACCATGTCTGAATGATTTTCTCATTAATTCACTTGTGACGTGTGCATGCAGATACAATCTTCCAACCATGAGAATTCGCATCATGCCTCCCTTACAAGGAAAGTTTATGCATATTTTAAAATTCCATCATCATTTACTCACATTTTACTTGGTCCAAACCAGTTTGAGGTTTTTTTTTTCTTGCTGATCACAAAAGAAGGAATATTGAAGAAAGCTGGAAACCTGTAACCATAACCTTTCATAGTATTTTCATAGGACTGTCTCATAGTATTTACTCGGGAAGTCAATAGTTACAGGTTTCCAGCTTTCTTTAATATATATAATATATATTTCAACAGAATCCAGAACTCATGAAGGTTTGGATTCACTTGAGGGAAGGTAAATAGTGAATAACTATTGATTTTTCAGTCAACTATCCCTTTAAGACAAGGGTGTCCAAACAGTACTGGAGGACTGGAGGTGTCCTGCTGAGCTTAGCATCAACTTGCTTGAACACACCTGCCAGGAAGTTTTTAGTGTATATAGTAAGAGCTTGATTAGCTGGTTCAGGTGTGTTTGATTAGAGTTACATCAGGGATGGGCAAACTTGATCCTCAAGGGCCGGTGTCCCTGCAGAGTTTTGTTCCAACACTAGTCAAACACCTGAACAAGCTAATCAGTGTCTTCAAGATCACTAGAATCTATCTATGTGTTTGATTAGAGTAGGAGCTAAACTGTGCAGGACACCGGCCCTCCAGGACCGAGTTTGCCCACCCCTGAGCTACACTCTTCAGGACACCAGCCCTACAGGGCGGAGATTGGACACCTCTGCAGTAAGACATATCCTGGCTGAATGACTTCTTAAAGGGATAGTTCAGCCAAAAAATACCATTGTCGTCATCTACTTGTGATGTGTCTTTGTTACACATCACATACTTGCTACAATAATTACATCATTTTTTGCATGATTACATGAATAACCATCAACATTATTGTCAGCCATCCCCAACTCCATGATGAGTACAAGTTGCTAAGTAATATCAATCAGTATTTAAATGTAGTATTACGCTGTAGCAAAGACACGGTCAGCTAAAGTGCAGCCTAGTTTCTTTTCGTCTGCTGAATGATATTTCATGAAAAATGGTTTTATACATACCGTTGACTTTCGACTTCCACAGTAGAAAGAAATATACTAAGGAATTAAATAGTTACCATAAACTGTGCATGTTGATTTTAAGACAACTCCTATTGTAGTGGTGTCAAACTCAGTTACTGGAGGGCCGCAGCCCTGCACAATTTGGTTCCAACCCTGCTTCAACACACTGATGCTGCGGTCACACTAGAGTTTGAGCATGCAAAATTCTGTTGTACGGCGCTGTGAGAAGGGGCGGGATTAAAGAAGTTGATTAGACATTAAAAAAAGCGAGCGATTGTTCCATGTTTTACATTTCTGTACAGAGAGGTCATGTTTTGATCTTCGATTGGTCTTACGCAGTCAAATGATGTGATTTTGCAGGTTTACCAAGCTTGAACTTTGCAATGCAGCAAACTGCCAAACTTGTCGCATAAGCTCGCGTTTCCAGTCTGATGCATTCGCCTGCGTATTAATAGAAATCTAAAGGGAAAAAAGGCCAGTGTGACCAAACTAGCCTAAAGGACTCAATTAGTTCTATCAGGTGTTTTAATTAGGGTTGACACTAAACTGTGCAGGGCAGCAGCCCTCCAGCAATTGAGTTTGACACCTGTGTTTGTGTTCAGAAGTGGAAAGAATCTCACACAGGTTTGGAAGAAGCAAAGGCTGAGGAAATGATGACAGGTTTTTATTTTGCACAAACTATTCATTTAATAACAGGAACCGTGTAAATACTGAGTTGTAAAAAAATGTTTATTTGCAAATGAACTCAACAAGAATAGTCAATCAGTTCTCACCTGTTATCAACAAATGACACGGCATAGTTGACAGCCAGTCCAGGAGGGATCCCAGCATCTTTGAAGAACTGGATCCATTCTGAGGTGGCTAAAGTAGCAAAACAACACAGTGATTAAATACATACTAAAGCTGTGTGTTAAGAGGAGTTTTGTCCTAACCACATGCAATAGCAATATCTCAATTTTAGAAATGACGATGATCACCTCAGCAACCGATTATGTGCTTTATTCAGTGCTTTATTCAACCAATGCGAGTTTGAAACCTATTTCACATGACATTTATTACAATACTACTGAAAGCAGCAGCAGCAGTTTACCTTAGATCTTTAAAATAAAATTACTAGTAAACGGTTTGGAAAATGAAGTTAGAACTTTCACTCAGTGCAAACCAACATATTAACGTGTATATATACACGTTAATATGCTTTAATTAGACCATTTCGTCATTGGGAGTGTGTTGGCTGATATTTTAATGACTGGGTATAGCATTTAAAAGTTTGTGTCATGTTGTGTTTGGGCGGACAGACAAATATATTGTCACTGTAATCTTGTTGCACTGTATGTTGTTAGGACACAGTCTAAGGAACATCAGACATGTTCAGAGCTTATAAAAAAATCTTATAACATTTACATTAAAGCAATCAGCAAAGTACACATAAATATATAAAAATGATATAAATCATTTCAGTTTGTTCCATTCTATTATTGAGGATGTGATATAGGGCTGAACACACTTGTCATCTTGTTCTCTTAGTTTAAAAATTATACATTTAAACCTGTTTTTAAATTTATTCTGAGACAGAACCGATCAAACCTCTAAAATAATGCTTTGTGCAAGGCTAAAATGTGTTTGTTGCTTTTACATAATTGTGATGCTATTTTTTATCAGTTGAGAACTTGAATGTATAAAGGAGTCATATAACAGCCACACCAAGACTCCTTTCATGCACACAAATTATGTTCTGTAGCAAGAAAACACCTAAAACAGGCATGCTTGAGCAGTCTGTCCAGTTTTAGTGCTTCTTGAAAACTTGTGCTTTGTTTAGATGTCTTTGAGTTCATATTTCAGTCGAACCAACACCAAAACAGTAGGACTCTTCTCAGTCCAACTGCATCAAAATTCAATATTGGTTCATCAATAGATCATCACTAATTATTACGTACTGATGTTATTTATCTCGTATGCGCTATGCGCGGTGAAACAGGCCTACTATTCGAACGAGGCGAGGGTTAAGTAATTAAAATACTCCTTAACTACTTAGAAAGCAAACAACTGTGCACAATTCACTACATCCGAGTTTGCTGGACAGTCTTTCACTAACAATGAAGTAGAGCAGAACGAGGAGACACTGCTTCACTGCTAGAGAGAAAATTAAAGCTCTCTCTAACTTTGGACCATTGAGCTGCTGGCATGTTTGTAAAGTGACTTTTCCTCTCCTCCATCGCTATTAAAGCAATAATCATGGATCCTGACATGAGTTTTTCTGTAGGGCATGTTTTCTCCATGGTGTCTATCACAAATCAGCTGTAATAGCTGCACAATATGCACTTTATCAAACGCATAAAGGCTGTTACAGCACATTCTTCAGTGTTTGCGTCACTTATCGGTGAACAACGCTGACAGTATTAGAGCCAATCAGAAAATATATATATTTTAGAGCCAATCGCAACCCTTTCTGTTGAGCGTGTGAACACAATGACCAATCATAGGGACGTAGAACGCTCGACAATGCTCAAAAAGCAAGCGGAATAATATTTACATTAGTTTATTTGCTATAAATACTCATGTTGTCTTCTGTGACTATTTGAGAATTGCTTGAAACATTAAAAAAAATGTGTTTTCTTTGACCAGGCAAAATTAAAGGTACAGTTCATATATCTGCTTGTATTAATTTTATTGCAAATAATATACTGTATAAATAAAAAAAATTAATTCAAGAAGAAAAATATATAATTGTGGATGGAAAGAATCGTTAATGCACCAAAATATAGTCACCAAACATATTTAGAAATTGAAAAAATATTATTAAATTCAAGCAAAATTTTGCAATTTTTTTTTACAAACTACAAAATTTCAACTTTATTTTTCATCTTTTTTTTGCTTCTCTTGATTTTTTTCTCTTTTTTAAATTTTACATTTAATATTTTTCTATAACATACATTTGGGTGTACTAGTTTAGTTCTTATTAAGTGAGATTAGCTCCAGATTTGGCTTCAGTACTGACTAAACTAATGTTTATGCACAAATATAATATTGTATAGCTTAGCTTCCTATTAAAAATATACATTTAAAAGATAGATTTGTGAGGGGTGTACTTGTATATGCTATAATAACTATATATAAACCACTTTGTAAAATATCTTGTAGAAACCATTTGAAGTTTCAAAACTGACATTAATTAGACACGTTTTTATGGTTACTTTATGGGGGGGGGATAGTGAAATAAGCTCAGAACATCAATTCTAGGAGGCAGACCCACCAACATGGAAATGAGGTCAAACTCAGCAGCATATGGGACATGCATGACAAAGAGAGAACACATGGCAAGAAGAGCAGCTGCATTGGGTGTTATTTATAAAGCAAAGAGTCTTGTGTCAGTAAAGGAGTTCTACTGCTCAATAAATAGCTGAATAGGTACAGTCTATTATAAAAGCACAAACTGAAATTAAAAATATAAGCGGTCTAGATATTTGTGTTTACTATGAATAGATGTTAAGGCATTCATGGATATTTATTACACCAGGTTGCTAAAATCGCTTCAAAACGCTCACAGTGTCTAAATTGGTCTTCAGCTGGTTTAAATGTTAAGAAACCTAGTTCTACACCAGAACACATCATTCTTTAAAAAAAAAAATAAAAAAAGAGTTTATATACAGGGTTCCCACATTTTCATCAACAGCAGATTCAAGGACTTTTAAAAGCACCATTAATTTTAAATCAAGCACATTTGCACTTCATACCCCACATTGAATGTCCTTCCCGTACTTAACAGTTACGCTAAAAAAATGTCACTTTCAACAATTGACCATTCTTAAAAAGTCATGTTCAAAGAGCTTTAATAAAAACTTGTTTAATTCAATATTGTTCATATTGCAGAAAATTCAGAAACATTGATCAAATCTAAATTATTTGTCAGTGTTGTTGAACAAGATTTAAACTTAAGATTTTTTTTATTTTAAGAATTTCTTTTTTTATTTGTTCTGTTTTTCTGCCTTTTGAGTACAATTGTTAAAATAACCTAATAACTATTAATTTACACACTTTCAAGGACCGGTGTTTTTTTTTTTTTTTTTTTTTTTAAGTATTTTCCAGGCCTTGAATCTTTAATTCAAGTTCTTTTAAACAGCATGAGAACCCTGTATAAAGCAAACAAACTCATGTGTTTTATAAATGAATCAAACAACGTTAACCTATAAAAGTAGTTCATGGTTTAAACAGAGAAATCAGTTGTCTATTTAATAAACATGGTTAAATACAGTAACACAAATTAAAACAATATAAGAACATTAGACATTTTAATAGTACGGTTAACGTTAATGTTTGTAATAAACTCCAATATGTATGTATCGCATTTCCAAAACGTCCACAAACGACGCTACAGTATACATATATTTAAATCTATCCGCTAGTATGGCATATTATAAGACTTCTGTAAGTGATAAACAGCAAATTAATAACAACATTGTCTTAAAAACAAGACAATAGTAATGCAATGAGGGGCCTGCTTCATTGAATCCAGTCGCTATATTTGGCTTTAGCCCGTCATGACGACCACAACTAAACACTCTCACGGCTTTCTCAGCCTTGGTTTTCATAACGGAACGTTAATTATTGGTTTAAGCCCATTTACAGACACATACAGTGACCACCTTCCAAGTGACAAGGGTCATTTCTCTCTCTTACCTGTTGTGACGGTCGCCATCTTCCCAGGGAAAAAACCGACGCGTTGCGGAAATCTTGTGACGTAACATCCTCTCCGTCTTCGGAACAACTCGGCTGACCTGAAAGTTCCGAGTGATCACTGGACGACAAAATGACTTGTTTAACGTTAATGGTTGTTTTTCTCCAGTGGGTCAAGTTGCGTGTAAGTTATCATAACGATTGGAAGAAGGTCGTTTTTAAACGGAATCTGCCATGACAGACGGTCATTATTATTCACTTTCATTTTATGGAAAAGAGATGCAATGCAAAGTTAATGGTGACATTTTGTTTACATCTCTTACAAATCATCCATGAAAGAAATTAACACTGGGCAATAACAACATCAGGGTGAGTAAATGATGTGGATATTTACAGGGCAAACTATTATATGATCATATTATAAAGTTCTGTTTATAGTGTATCCACTAGAGGACGTTGTAACCCCGTGAATATCATGTCATTGATCATTTGATTCATGGATTTTTTACTGTTTTGATGTTATATTGTAATTATTTATAACAACGTTTGATCAAAGTCAAATTACTATATTTAATGATCACAATACAGCCCCAAAATTATGAAAAATTTATTTGTAATTATAAAATCTGTATACTATGCCAATATTCTTAAAGCCACTAGGTCTAACCCATTTGTCAGTATTTATTTTTCATTCATTCATGTATTTTTCTTCAGCTTAGTCCATTTATTCATCAGGGGTTGCCACAGCGGAATGAACCACCAACTTATCCAGAATTTGTTTTACAAATGTATGCCCTTTCAGCTGCTGTGAGGCGACAGTGCTAAACACTGAGCCACTGTGTTGCCCTTCTCAGTATTTAATAGTTTAAAATATAATACAATTATATATTAGAATTCAATAATTCCTATAATTTAGTAAGTACAAGTCAATAAGTAATTATATTGCTTTATCGTACCATTTATTTGACCATACATTATTCTTATTTTTTCTACGGTTCATCCCCTGGAACTGAGCTGCCAAACAATTATTATTGTAAACAAAAAAGCTAAAGTGTATGTAGTTATCAACTAGCACTTATTCTGTACATTTATGGCACTTCCTTCAATCCTAAAACACAAAATTAAACGCATAATTATAATAACATTTTCACAGATTACTTGAAATGACTTGAACTGGTAGGGGTGCCTGGAGGCAAATGTAACACTAAAAATGAGTCATATTTTCCCACAAATAAAGTAATCACTGTGAAATTGCAAATGCATCAAATTAGGGCTGCACGATACTGGAAAATTCTAACCCTTCAATTTTTTTTTTTAATTCTGCGATAAATTTTGTGGAATGAATACAAAATGAGTTGAATAACTATTTGGAAAGAATTGATAATTTTACACTCAAAAAAATACATTTTACACTCAAAATATTTTTTTGCTCGTTCTAACTACTTAGTTAAAATGAGCTGAAACAACACAATTCTTGAGATTTCATTGGGACAACTGCCTTTTTTATGTTCAATCCACATAAATTTGTTAAAAGTGTTAAATTAACCTAATCAATTTGTCTTGGGACACCATGAATGATTTGTGTGGAACCCTGGGATTAATTGGGATTAATCTGTAGGGGATTGTATAACATATAATAATCTATCTACAAACATAGATAATAAACAAAAAGGTACAAATTAAATAAACAGCATTTTATTGTTTTTCAGAGTAGTCGAACTGTATTCATGTATACAGTAATTGAATAGTCAAACTTAAAATAACACTGCATAGTCTTTGTTTTATAAACAATTCAATGAAATTATTTGTTGTTAATTTGTTGTTAAGTTACAAACGGTACAGTTTATTATGCCTGAATGCTTTTAAGAACCCTCACACAATCACAGGCCTCAAAAAACACTTACAAAATGAAAAGTTGTAATCCAGACTCAACATTGCGTATACTCACGATGTGACTTGCAAATTATTACACTGTGATATCGATGCTGAAACGATATTTTGTGCAGCCCTACACTTCCTGGCAAAAGTCCTGTCATCAATCCCTGTTGTAAGAGCAACAGATAATAACTTGACTTCTAGTTGATCATTTGGAAAAGTGGCAGAAGGTACATTTTTTCTGATGAATCATCTGTTGAACTGCATCTCAATCATCACAAATACTGCAGAAGACCTATTGGAACTCGCATGGACCCAAGATTCTCACAGAAATCAATCAAGTTTGGTAAAGGAAAAATCATGGTTTGGGGCATGCAAGAGATCTGCAGAGTGAATGGCGACATCAACAGCTTAAAGTATCAACCATTTGTGCTGCCCATTACATTACAAACCACAGGAGAAGGCGAATTCTTCAGCAGGATAGCGCTCCTTCTCATTCTTCAACCTCCACATCAAAGTTCCTGAAAGCAAAGAAGGTACAGGTGCTCTAGAATTGGTCTGCCCAGTCACCAGACATGAACATTATTGAGTTTGTCTGGTGTAAGATGACAGGGGAGGCATTGAAGATGAATCCAAAAGAATCTTGATGAACTCTGGGAGTCCAGCAAGAATGCTTTCTTTGCTTTTCCATATGACTTTATTAATAAGTTAATGTAGTCCTCCAAGCTCATGGGAGTCGTACACGATATGAACTATTTTTCCACTGCACCATGACTTTATATTCTATACTGTACATTATTTCTGTTAAGTGACAAGACTTTAGACTCTTTATAAGCAAAGTCTGACCTTATTGTCTGATTAAATCAGGGGTCACCAATCCTGTTCCTGGAGGGCCGGTGTCCCTGCAGGCTTTATGTCCAACTTGCCTCGACACACCTGCCTGGATGTATCAAGTATACCATGTAAGACCTTGATTAGCTTGTTCAGGTGTGTTTGATTAGGGTTGGAGCTAAAGTCTGCAGGACACCGGCCCTCCAGGAACAAGTTTGGTGACCACTGGATTAAATAGTTAAAAACCAAGACATGATAATATTTTATTTTGGTAATCTAGAGGCATATTCCATTCATATTAGCCTTTTGATGCCAGATGATCAAATAGAAGTCAAGTTGTTCCTAAAACTTGGATCGGCGACAAGACTTGTCAGGTAGTGTGTACATTAGATATACATATATTCAAAAACTGTATTTGGATCAAATTCTTTAAGATGTCAAATATCATTTGCATTCAGAAAGCAAAAGTCTCTAGATTTTAGTTTTACACACATTTTCATCAGTACAATAATCAATTAATGATTCAGTTCTTTAAATACTGCAAGACAGAACAACCCAATGAATTCAAGTGGAGATTCATCAATTTTTTAAGAATATTAGCTTGTTTCTGATTGGAGGAATTACATTTGACCCCAGTGTCTTCTAATAATACACTTCATGATCTCGTAAAAAGAGCAGATGAAAAGTCATTGTGGATATGTTTATTTTGTAGACATTTCCTTTACAAGAAAAATTGGACGTCATACAAAGATATTAAGATAGGACAGCACACCAAGATTTCACAGTCTATGTAACAATATGAAATGTCCTTCTCCATTCATTAAAGGGCAAGAAATATAGCATAAATTGAAATGAAGTGGAGAAAGGATGAAAAGAGAAAGACTGTAGAACGGCGGATTATATATTTTACTAAAGGTAGTTCAGTATGCATTAAATATGCTGTTTAATATGAGAACTTGGGAGCAGTCGTGGCAGGCACTCTCAAATGATGAGCATCCTCAAATCCACAACGTCACTTCTGTCATCGGCATTCTTAATCAAGAATATACAAAGACAAACGGTATTGAAAAAAGCACCATATCATTTTGAATTTGAAATGTTTCACTGTGAATCGTTTTAAACCTAGCTTTCATTTCCCTTCAAAAATAAAAAATAAAACAACAAGAAATAGGTCATCCCTCTTCTTGAAATTGTCTGAACAAGTGGTTGTAATAGGCTCCTTAATATAGGTCTATATTAAAAAAGTCAAACGGTTCATTATCAAATAACACCCACTAAGCCAGAGAGGCACTGAAATTTGACATCCTCAAAATGCAAAAGCATCCCATCATTGAGGTCTCAGTTGAGTAAATTATAGAAGGTAAACAGGACAGACAGTCTCCAATCTTCACTGTGACACTAGCATCCGGACCGGCTTTTACCATACAATTCAGTTGATTTGCTACATGGTTCTCCTAGAGTATCTGAAATATTGCATTCCACCGTGTCAATTTGTGCACTGTGAATTCGAAAATACCTAGGATGAGTTTGCAGATGAATCTGAGGAGTTTTTGCAAAGTGGAAGACCACAGAGTCACTGGTACTGAACCAACATCCCCTTATGCTATTATATCAGAGTCGGATCCTATTTGTAAAGATACAGTAACGATAGGATTTGGCGTAGGAGTCACAAAAGCACCAACAGTTGAGAAATCAAACCAACATAAAACAAAATCACACCGCTGATATCACATAATGTCCCACTCTGTGAAATCGCAGCTCTGGCTTCATCGCGTCACTGTTTGAGATGCCGTAATTCAGTTTTCACTGCTAAATGAGAGCTTAATTTTATCAAACGGCTCTGTTGGAAAGAGCCAACATGGTTGTGTCCATCTCTGCTTGAATTGAACCTCCGGGTGCGCTCGTGGATATAAATGTAGCATGAAAAGACATTTTGATTGAAACATCTGTACAAATATTATCATTTCCACCTCATCAAATACTCCACATAAAGAAGCCAAAGATTAAAACAATGGACCTCGTTTGTTTGTAAAAACACTTCCTATCTATGTATGACGCCGGCACTTATACATTTCTGATTGTGCCTGTAACGTGAATTAATTAGGGCTGGTTGAAAAAGTTCAAGCCCTGAACTTCTCTCTCACACGCACACACACAATAAAGCCAAATGGCAGACAGCACACACTGGACAAAATAAATCAATGCAACACAAATGATTCAGAAACACGTCTGAATCAAGAATACATAGAGACACTCAATTCATGTCTTCTTTTTTCTTTAATATATTTATTTTCAAATGCATTTTTAGATATTTTGCGCGTCCAGTGTGTTTTGTCCACAGGGGTTGATGAACAAGGGCTGTGAGATCAACCTCATCGACAAATCAAGCACAGCACAAACCTGCGATACATATATAAATATGCACCAGTTTTAATACAGTCATCATACAAGGTTACACATTTCAAATGAAAGGCAGTGACAATGCTTTTCATATTAAGGGAAAGGCGGGCTGTTATTGTTTATTATAATATATATTTTTTTTGTTCTTTTAGAAAAATATCTATGTTTAAACCAAAGCCAAGTGCATCAAGCTCTCCCTTCTGTCTTCATTGACAAAAATAATATTTTCTGAACATTCATACATTACATTACAATCATTGTGTATATATATATACACTGAATATGTATATATATATATATGCATACATAATATATTTTTTATATATTTCATATATATAGTTTTAGACATAAAAAAGTTTCATAGTGCACAACATGCCTTTTTAGTTGCCAAGATGATATAACTATGAAATAATAATTATTAATAACCATAATAACAATATTCTTAATAACTGCGGTATAAGACAACAGTAACAGATAGAGCTAAAAGCCCCACAAAATTCTTCCATTTGGCAGCAACGGCACAATCAAGAGCAAAAGAGGAAAAAAAGCATCATAAAAAAATCAGTAACTCAAAACATCAAAAACATTCACAGGAAAGTAAACGGTTCATATTCGAAAGCACATCCGGTCCTTTAGGTTGCCCATCGTTACTCGCTCCTTCCATCTGAAGCCGGCGTTTGTGCTTTTTTTCCATCTTAACATTAACAACAACCCCCTTTAAAGAAAGAAATCAACTGGAGTCGTAGTCTTCTGTGGCTTCCATTCACAATCAAAGCCCAGAGCTGTGCTGAACCACATCCACAACTCAAGGACTATGTCAAGGACTTTCAGAAGCACAGAGGCCACTCATCCAAAACCAAGAGGTTGTGTTTTTTGTTTTTTTTTTGGTCGCTCAATATAATGCTTCTCAAACCTAGAGTGTAAAGCCACTCTCGTATGCAATCATCAGATAAGCCACTTTTGAAATCAGAGTTAATACTATCGTTGAAACACAGAATGAAACAAACAAACGAACCCCTCTAATTTGCTCAAGAAGGGTGGAAAGGGTGTAATACAGCTTTGAAAGCTCTTGTAGGATCAGCAGGAGATGTGAACGCTCTCACCATCTCATTCCTATGGATTCCAGACCTTGGCAAAGTCTAGCCAGCGCATCTTCACTCATCCAAAATCAAATCCTCAATGCTGAGGAGCAATAGAGTCCTGGCTTTCTAGGACGGCATTTGATCTGGCTGGTCGGTTTAGTTGTTTTGAGATCCACTGTGGGCTGGTCCGTGCAAGGGGAGATTTGTGGTGTTGGGGTGTGGGTTGGCACTCACTCAAGGTTCCATGGGCTTTCAGGGTCCAACGGGCTCTCAGGGGCCGAAGACTTCAGAGAGAGGCACATAGAGACAGGAGAGAGGAGAAACAGATGTGGAGATGGACAACGGAGGGAGAAACAAAAAGAGAGAGATAGCTACAGAGTGTGTGGTCATGTCCTTTAGGCAGAAGAGGTGTGGATGAGCTGGATGAGAGAAAGGGTAGCAAGGTAGACTTACAGGAACAAGAAAAAAAACAAACCAAAACCCATAATGCAGTTCTGCGAACCCACATTTGCGTAGACAAATACACAGCAAGCACCTGGCGTGGATAGATAGAGAAGGAGGGAGATGGTACACCAATGTAAGCCAGAGCGAGAACAGATGAAAGCAAAAGGGTGCTGATGTGCTTTTATTGTTACGTTAAACCAATTGAAGGAACACTCAACTTTCTTTGGAAATGGGCTTATTTTACAAATCGTCTAGAGCAGGGGTGTTCGAACTTGGTCATGGAGGGCCGGTGTTCTGGAAAGTTTAGCTCCAAATCAAACACAACTGAACCACCTAATCAAGCTCTTACTAGATATACTATACATTTCCTGGCAGGTGTTTTGAAGCAAGTTGGATCTAAACTCAGCAGGACACCGGCCCTCCAGGACTGAGTTGGACACCCCTGGTGTAGAGTAAAAATAGTGGAGTTTTAACATTTTTCAATCCATCCTGCTGATCTCTGAGTCTGGTGGAGCACTTTTAGCTTAACTTAGCATAAATCATTAAATCGGATTACACCATTAGCATCTCACTCCAAAAAAGTTTCAATAATATTCCCATTTAAAGCTTGACTCTTCTGTAGTTCTGTAGAGCGAAATAAAATTAAAGTCGATATTACCTGCACTGTTACCTACACTCACAGAAATAAAAGTACAAGAGCTGTCGCTGTGGTGGTACCTTTTCAAAAGGTACATATTTTGTACTTAAAAGGTATATATTGTACCTCAAAGCTATATATTAGCACCTAAAAATTTCAAGAAGTACACTATTGAACTTTTTAGATACTGATATGTACCCTTGAGGTATTAATAAGCCCCCTTTAAGTAGAAATATGTACCTTTTGAAAGGTACCACCACAGTGACAGCTCTTGTACATTAATTTCTGAGAGTGTAGTTGTGTAGCTGGGGCCTATTTTTAGGCACTGCATAGTATTGCACCTGCTGCAGCCATGGTAGGGCAACAAAATCCTTTGCTTACTATATCAGAATGAGAGTATAGTTCCTTGCCATATCAGTCTAGAAAATAGCAAGAAATAGCAATAGCTTTTGCTTTTCAGTTGATCTTAGTACAAGATGAAACTATAGAAGAGTCTAGCTTTAAATAGGAAAATTTATGAAATATATTTTTTTATTTTTCAATAAGCTAAAGGTCTAATCCAATTCAATGATTTATGCTAAGCTAAGCTAAGCCAAACGTGCTCCTGCAGACCCAGAGATTGGGTGAATGGATTCAAAAATGTTAAAACTTAAATGTCTAACTCTAGGTGACTCATAAAATGAGCCTATTTCCAAAGAAAGTGAAGTGCTCCTTTAAACATTTAAGTGAGTATGAGTGCGTGTGTGTGTGTGTGTAAGGGCTACTGACTCATTTCGATATTAAGCCTGAATTCATTGTGAATTAATATACACTTACATCATCTGATGAAGTCGCACAGACGCTAACGCATCTGGGCCTCGGTTTCAAAACCAAGGCCTTAACTGTAAAAGATCAATACAATGTACATCCATAGATTTAATGTTTGGATTGGCATGTACGCATGTGCTGTTTTCGATAGGCAAGCAAAAGGCCGAGAGATCAGCAGAGCTCTCAAAGTGCAAGAAGCGAGGGTGAGTTCAGGGAATCAGAGGACTGATCGCTGCTGCTGGTTCGCTGGTTAGCGCTGGCCCCGCAGGCTCCCTCTGGGTAGGTGAACACAAATGAAGATGTGTATGAGGGGATGTAGCTGCCGGCGTCAGGGTTACCGCCACCGTCGGCAACAAGGCACGGGCCGTCCGGCGCCGGCTGGCCCGGCCCATAGAAAGAACTAGAAAAGGCTACCTCCTGCATCATCCCTTGCTGCTGTTGCGCTGGTGCCGGCTGTGTCTGCGTGGGCTGTGAAACCGGGACGTGGTGGTGGTGGTGGGATGAGTAGGCCGGCGGCAGGTAGAAAGAGTCCTCCTTCACAGTTAAACCCACCACGGAGACAGAAGGCGCCTGTGGGGACGTCTGCGGCAGCGGAGCAGGGGGCTGGTCCTGGTAGGGAAGTTTGCAACCAGGTTGGTGGGCGACCAGGACAAACTCCAGGCGCTCTTTCTCCTTCTGCAGCTCGGATATTTCAGCCTCTAGCTCGGCCTTCTCCTCCTCCAAAATGTCTGTCTCCTTGGGTTGGAGAGACAAGAGGAGGACACAAGGGGACAGAGATTTTATGATCACATAAAATTAGGACAAAAGCAAGGGTTTCCGTTTAGCATTCACTACATGCTGCTAGTTTTAGATAGCAACAACCAAATAAACTTGCTTGAGTCTGTTGCCACTAGATAATTACGGTGGGTTTATTGACTCTTTGTTCAAACTAGCCCTTTCTAATTACAATGGAGCCTGATGTGTATGTGTGTTGGTATCATTTACAAACTGTAATTGTAAAAAATGATTGTTATGAGCGGATTGGCATGTTACGAATCCTGTAATTATGATGCTTTTGCATTCATCCAGGGCCTAAAAATAGCATTCGCCATTTTGAGTAAATCCCCCCAAATGTGAGTAAAAATCGATGCTGGTGAGTTGATGAAACAATGTTACCCACCAGCTGGCCGGCAATGTTTTTTTTTTTTATTTTTTATGTTTGTGACGTGGTTTAGCCCAGCAGTGTGATCTTTTGAGAAGCTCAACAAATTTTGAGTTGTTTCTAGTGTCTAGATCAGGGGTGCCCAGACTTTTTCTTAAAAAGGGCCAAAAACCAAACTTGATTGAGGCTGGTGGGCCGAAGTTGAATATAGTTGTCATGGGGGATTTCCTCATTTATTTTATAATATTTAAAAATAACTAGAAAACGTTGCTTTATATTAACTAGTATTCTTTTTTTTTTTTACATGTTATTATGAAGTTATTAAAGTAAAAACAAAAACAATCATATATAACAGAATGGAAATACACTAATTTTGGCCATGATTTGCTCGCCGATGTCTTCTGCATATTCCACTATACGTTGAGTGATGACATTTACATTTTAGAAAAATCTGATTAATTTACAACATTTAATTGAAACATTTGCATTGTTTGTATCTCAGCAATAAAACAAACAAACAAAAAATTGTTACATCAAATTAAACATGACGAAAGGCATTCTCCCTAACCCTCTCCATCATTCTCACTGCCTGAAGATGAGATGGTGGGCCAAAGGTTACAATGGGCCAACTTTGGTCTGCGGGCACTAGTTTGAACATCTCTGGTCTAAATACAGCTCAGTTGAGGGTAAATTTTACTGCAAGTGCTGTGATTTTTGAATCCTTACAACATGCTTTTGAAAATACCTCCATCTTCCCAAGTTTGCAATACTTATGGAAAATAAAAGCTCCATGGTTTCATTTTTGAAATCAAAGAAAATATATATTTTTTATTTAATTATTATTTTTTTAAATGAATATAATGTATGAATACTACCGCCCCTAATTTGTATTTGTTTTTTTTTATTATTATTAAATTTCCAAGTGCAAAAAACAATTTTAATGCAGATTAAATTCTAGCTAATAAATTTTCCTTATGTCACCGTCCATTGGCAGGTGCAGCAAAATGTTCATTTTAGGCCCTGTATTTGTCTGATACCATATATAAAATACTGTATTGGATTTTTGTGTTTTTAAATATGAGTACAGCATCGCTCACCGACTGTAACCTGTCTGTGAGCTCACGCCGTCGGTTCCTACACTTAGCGGCAGCCAGTTTATTTCTCTCTCTTCTAACACGTCTTTTCTCCTCTTCCTCGGGGGTCAGCTGGGAACACAACAAATTTAGTATCACATTAAGCCTTATTTCTTGCAGTTTGTATAGAAATTTTTTAACCAAATCATGAATGGGTCCCACTCACCGTTTCATCTCGTGCACGGCGGCGGCTTCGAGACTGACGCACTGGGCCAGGAGTATCAGAGCTCGGTGGGGTGAAACCACCGGACGAAAAGCTTGGGCCCGGCAAGTCGTAAGGATCCAATGCAACAGGCTGCGTCATGGTGCTGGAGCCCGTGCCACTTTGACCTGGTGCCACAGAGGATATTAGAGTGGGCTGCACCATCCACTGCAGATCCTGGCTTGTGGTGATGGCCGTCACTGTTGGCACAAATGAGCTGGGCATGTCCACCCCTGCCCCGGTTGACCCTCCACCCACCCCTACCCCGCCAGTGGCTGTTACACACTCCTAGGAACCAAAAACATACACCGTATGAAGCCATGGCCTTCAAAATCACACTGTATTCAGAGTGATTATAATTCAAATAAAACACCAAAATATTTTACAGTTATTTTACCAGAAATTAAATAAACAGTAATAAACGTAAGTTAACATATTGTGAACTAAACTGGACAATATAATTTTTCTAACATAACATTTTTAATATACTGTTAGTATATGTTAATGATGTTAATATATGCTTTTAATATATTGCTCGTTAATAATTTGTTATATCTAATGTGTTGCCTAATGTTCACAAATGAAACTGTTTAGTGCCACCAATAGAAAAAAAAAGAAAAGAAAAAATATATATATATATATATATATATATAAAATAACATAGTAATATAATAATATACAGTTGAAGTCAGAATTATTAAACCCCCTGAATTATTAGCTCCCCTGTTAATTTTTTCCCCAATTTCTGTTTAACGAAGATAAGATTTTTTCATCACATTTCTAAACATAATATTTTTAATAACTCATTTCTAATAACTGATTTATTTTATCTTTGCCATGATGACAGTAAATAATATTTGACTAGATATTTTTTCAAGACACTTCTATACAGCTTAAAGTGACATTTAAAGGCTTAACTAGGTTAATTAGGTTAACTAGTCAGGTTAAGGTAATTAGGCAAGTTATTGTATAACGATGGTTTGTTTTGTAGACTATTGAAAAAAAATGTAGCTTAAAGAGGATAATCATTTTGACCTTAAAACTGCTTTCATTTTAGCGGAAAACAAAGACTTTTTCTTAAAAAAAAAAAAGAAAAAATGTCAGACTATTTGTGAAAATGTCCTTGCTCTGTTAAACATCATTTAGGAAATATTAAACAAATTCAAAGGGGGTTTAATAGTTCTGATTTCAACTGTGTAGACTTATTTATAAATTACAGAAACAGAAAACAAAAAGTTAAAAACGGAAAATATTAAAATAAAATCTAGTTCAATAACAATAATGCCATAGTAATAATATTTTCACCACAATAAAACCGTAAAATGTGATTTTCCATTGCCTCAGTTTACATATAAAATCGACTAAGACAAATGAAAAGCAACACATTTAAGAAAAAATGACATTGATCCTTATCCTGAGTTATGTTTTAGTAAGATATGAATAACAAATATTTCCTAAAACTGACTAATTCGTGTACAGAAACCTCGAGACTGTTTAAATGCGTTCAAATATTAAAACATATAGGAGAAATTTATATCTATACGGTTTCATTTCTTAGAAAAAAGGATGCGAGTGCGAGTACCATGTTTCATTAATATTCATATGTAAGCGTGTTAGGCAAAAACGTACGCAGTCTGCCGTATCCAATCGCCGCAGCCTCGATTCGGCCCTCCCTTCCCGTTCCTCCGCCCCCGTCACACCCCCGGTGTTCCCCTTAGCAACTCAACGTAACACTCCAAAATAGAACGCATTGACGTCACGTCCAAGTCTGAGAAGCGAGAACAGCAGCACCGGGCAAGAGGCGGAGCTTCGTGAGCGCGCGTCGGAGAGTCCACAGCCCTGTCATCTGTTTCGCGGCGTGCTGTAAACCTACCACGTTGCTACCGGTCTGATTCTGCGCGCATGCTGACTTGTCAGTATTATATTTTCACTATATACATCCAAACACGCTCGAAATGAGCAAAATGGCTTTGCCGCTTCGGTTTTCACGCAGAAACATGCAGAGCTACTGTCGTGCTGTTGGCTTAAACAAATGTGTGTTCGGACAGACACTGCGGTAAAATGTATTAAATAGTGGGGACTTACTTGCGGTGCGCTGGTGGTGGGCGGACTCCCGAAGGATTCCACGGACGACAGGTACTGAGATTCAAGAGAAGGAGAAGAGCTTCCACGGGAGCCGGTGTCGGGGTCTCCGGGGAACCCCTGAAACATGTCCCCGATGGAGCCGAGAGAAGCCGAAACACCTACTGTGCCCGGCGAGAACGGGATATCACCTGTCATCCAACACAAGTTACACTGAAGCGTATTTTCTTCAGGACATCAGCTAGACTGTTTGCTTTTGTAAACTGCAATGCACTAAACACACGTAAAAAGCCGGACGCGTTATATTTAAATGCGCTTTATTATATTAAAGTCACCTACCGTAACAAGTTTTACTTGGAGTCTTCGTCAAGATGCCTTTAGTCTCTTTCCAAAACAGTTGCATTAAGACATCAATCCAGTTCCCTGCTCGAGGAAACTTCTAAATTCCAATCCGTCCTTGTGTAACACTTCCCGGGTCGTGGTACAATCCGTGAAATGCATGAAATGTGCTTTTATAAATCCATAAAATAATCCGCAGTGTGTTTGTTGCAAACGGGAGTAGAAGGTGTGCGGTGTTTCGGCGGCAGCGCTTCCTCTTGTGAATGAAGCCTGGGAACGCATTGTAAAGTAGGGAGTCCTGGCTCCGCCTTTTCTGGTGTTCCGCTGACGTAGGTGCCCATATATGGTCCAAAACCACTGTTTTTGTTTTTGGTATCTAAGCAATATGACGTGTAAGGGATTCCCTCACCCACAGAAAGAGACAGCTCTCTCGCGGTCAAGAATAGGTACGTTTACTATTACTTCCACAAGATATTTTTAATAGTTACATGCTTTTCACAGACAATATTTAGAAACGACGCGGTTTGCAAATATTTTTGCATGAATGCTGCGTCAGAATGCGTTAGGTTTAACTGACGCTTTTAATGTCATTTTTACCACTGGCATGTTTAAATAAACTATTTTCTAACCTGAATTGTTACAAACTGTAGATAGTTTACGCAATGTAATATTGATATTAATCAGTAAAAAATGAAAGATTAAAACTGGATATTATAAAATCAACACACTACTGAAAGGAATTCACCATTTCTAACAGTTTCAATTAATTTTATTGCAATTTTATTTTTCAGAATTAAATTTAAAGCGGCGCAAAGTTTGCATTAAACGTAACACTGTATGTTTTAACCTTGATAAGATAATATGTCTTACAAATGTGAGGCAAATTAACTTTTATTTTTAGCACAGGGACTGTTCGCCGTGTTGAAATGTATGTTTGGAAACTGCAAAGCACGAGAAAACACCTGAGCAGTCGTGAAGCTAATTTTAGGAGGATATTTCACTGGGGTAGCGACTCAGCGCAGGAGGGAAACCCGCTTCCAGCTGTTTTGACTCCACTGTAAACTTTGTCAGCGACACGCCCCACGGAATCCCCGATACACCCAGAGCTTCCCTCGTCACTAACAGTCTTGAGAACCGGTCGGAGCAGAGATTTACATTGCAGGTTGTCTATTGTAGGTAAGTCTGCGAACTATTCGTCTTGTTGTTATTGAGTTAGGCTATGCATAAATCTGCTGATTAGCCTCAAAACTTGAATATTAAGTGAAATGCTTGTCTTATTAAATGCTAGTTTATTACACTAAAATCACTTGAATACAGAACTACAAGCTTAAAATGATAGAAGTAGCCTATACAACGCACGGGATTTGACAGCATGGCACTCGCCTTATTATTCCGCCAACAAAGAGCTCATTATTACGCCTGATACCCTCGCCGTTTACCAGAAGCATGTACAAGTTCCAAGTCGGGCAGTGGGCTGAAGTGACGGAAGTCATAGTGAGTGTCACACGCTGTCACATTTCATCTCATGTAGGAACAAAGGTGATTCATTGCTCAGTGTGCAAGGAAATGAGCTTGGCTTGATAATAAAGTAAAACTTATATATAAACGCGGGAAGCAGAATATGGCAGGATAAAAAGATATGCAACCAACCAACACCTTATAACTCGACGGTGGGGAAGGGTGGGGATAACAACAATTAGTCAGCAGCAGCTGAACGTCACCGGCGGAGAACGCCGTGTCCAGTGGCAGACATTATAACGACCGAGCAGGAATATGACTAATGCGGAGTATGAACGGCAAACATTCGACCATTTTACCAGAACACCCCAGGTCCACGTTAAAATCCGGTGGTTACGTCAGAGAAATTGTATGTGGGATGCTTAAAAATCAGCTAGATAGGGAGAATCATCTATAGTTAGCCAGCGTGGCAGGTGTTTAAGGGGCTTCAGGCAGCATCTTTCCCTGATTACAGCTTTCCATTTTTCCCCCCAAAATATTTTATTTTGTGTTCAACAGAAGAAATAAACCCATAAAGATTGGAAAAAAACATTAATGGTCAGTAAATTATGACTGAATTATATTTTCGGTGCACTATTAATTTAAATGTGTTTACTGACTAAAGAGCCTACAGGTAAATACATTTCTCAGGCAGTAAACGTGATGCATGCCATGAGTGTTCGTCTGGCTTAATCTATTAGTAGCATAGTCAAACCCAGGTCCAGTGTATGAAAGACCAAAGCCAGACGAACATCCTTGAAATTCATCACATTTACTGGCTAAGAAATATTAGCCTGTATTTAGTCTGTAAATACATTTAAATTGATAGTTCACCCACATTTCTGTCATGATTTATTCACCATTTATGTTTTTCTAATCTTTATCTGTTTTTTTCTTCTGTTAAAAGGAAAAATATTAAAAGGTAAAAGGAAATATTTTGAAAAATGTTTGGAAACCTGTTACCATTCACTTCCACAGTGTTTGTTTTCCCTACTATGGAGGTCAATGTTAGGCCTACGGGTTTCAGCTTTATTCAAAATATTTTTTTATATTCAACAGAGGAAAGTAAATCATAAAGGTTTGGAACCATGTGAATACATTGTTAGTAAATCTACATTTTTGGGCAATCTATTCCTTTAATGTGATGTTACAGGTAAGATGTTCTTGTAATTGTGATATTAGTTTTATATGAAAATTACATAACTTATGTTCATATTTTGAATTTTGAGAACATTTGTTTTTATTTTGTTGACATAAATTAGTCACAAGTCACAAATCACAAATATAAAAGATCCATAATACAGCGAAAAATTAAAATCATTTAAAATGGTTTAAGGTTAACTGAGGAGAAACTGAGCTAAAGAAAGTCATTGTTTACTCACCTTCATGTTGCACCAAACCTGTAATCTTTTTTCCTATATTAAAAAAAGTGAGGATTGGCAAAACATCTGTTAGCAGACTCATAATTAAATTCAGTTTAAGATACCGAAACACTTTTTAAGTGCAGTTTAACTGAGAAAACAAAAATCTTGCAGAAAGTCATGATGTGGACATTTTATGACTAACCTGCATTTTTGTCTTTTTAATTCACAAAACTGGTGTTTGACCAACTGAATCTAGTCACCATTCACTTTATTTGTAGTGAAAGTGCATGGTGACTGATCTGTGAGTCAACACAGCCTTTTTCCCTATTCATAGAAGTAAGTGCACAGATATTTGGAGCAGTATTACGCCTGTGAGTAAAGTCTGACTTTTTGTTGGTGAACTATCTCTTTAAGTTTCACCCATAGCGTTTCCATTCCGGCCAAGGAACGTACAGACGAAGGGAAACAATAGCACAACGCACTAACTCCAGTAACCGTCTCTCATTCTGTGGTTTAATGCAAAATAAACTAAACAGCCTCTTAAAGCAAACAATCCCGCGACGTTTACAACCAACTCTTCGTGTGTATACAACGTCTCGTCGCTGTGGAAACGCCGTTCCCGCACGTCTGACGCAGGGACGTCACGACGATTGGTACTTTTTTTGTTTTTGCTGCGTAGCAACCGGTTTCCGTGGTAACCTTAAAGGGGCCGCACGGTGTGTGGTTGGAAGTGGCCAGTTCTCCGACAAGGGAAAGCGGACCTTTGTTTGTGTGCGTGTTTACATTCCTTTGACATTTTTACGAGGCGATTAGTTGCTTAATTTGGGTTTTGGGAATTAAACCACACGATTGTTTACATTAAACGTAGTTTATTTACCTTTGCAGCAAATCCTGCTAGCAGCTTAACGTTAGCCAGTGTGCTAACATTAATCGTTCCGTTTTCATAACAGCGCAGCGTGGCAAACAAATGAAATTATATTACTGCACTGTATTAAAACAACGTTTGCATGGTCGAATATAGGGACAGTGCTCGAAATGTTTAAAGTTTGTTGTAGTTGCACACCTCTTGATGTTGTTAACCGAGAAAGGCTGCTAGAAAAGAAAACACTTTAACACCTTCGACATATATTATGTAAAGTAATTTGACTTTTCTGTTGAGTAACTTGTGTTTGCATAAGTGTCAGAAGCCATGGCTGGTGAGTCAAAATAAATTAACTCGCCCATGAGGTCGAACAGGCGTATTTGTTTTAAAGGAGTACAACTACAAGCCAACTATTGAACATAACGACCATAAAATGAATAAACCCCGAAACCACAGCCCGAATGTGAAAACATTTCATAAAACTTTTCTTTTTAAGGGTAATTTGAAAATAATAAAAACATAACACTATTAATTTTTCTTTCAACACTAGTTCATAGTTAACAAATAAACTAAGCAAGATATTTTACTAACCTTTTAAAACGGCTCAGGTTAATGACCTAATGTTAATAAATTCAACTTTTTAGCAGTGTCTTAGTAATTGTACACATTATCTAGGTAGCCATCAAATGATAAATGCTGTTGAAGTATTTTTTATTGGAAGTTTAACTCATGCAAACAACTGAACACGTATTACAATCATCTTAAATAAATAGTGCTGTTTAGAAGGAAGTACAGGCAAGATGTTGCTTAGACCTTTGGATTAATGTGGACAGCTACAATACTGACAACAATACTTCTGTGCATTGTAATGACAAATTATTTGCCAGTGAAACTCAATGATCTAATATTTATATACCATCATATACCATTATGTGCCAATATATACAGTTGAAGTCAGAATTATTACCCCCCTGAATTATTAGCTCCCGTTTAAATTTTTCCCCAATTTTTATTTAACGGAGAGAAGATTTTCTTAACACATTTCTAAACATAATAGTTTTAATAACTCATTTCTAATAACTGATTTATTTTATCTTTGTCATGATGACAGTAAACAATATTTGACTAGATATTTTTCAAGACATTTCTATACAGTTTAAAGTGACATTTAAAGGCTTAACTAGGTTAATTAGGCATGTTAGGATAATCAGGCAAGTTATTGTATAAGGATGATTTGTTTTGTAGACATATTGAAAAAATATAGCTTAAAGGGGCTAATCATTTTGTCCCTAAAATGTTTTGAAAAAAATTAAAAACTGCTTTTATTATAGCCACCTTTCCCCAGAAGAAAAAAATATTATCATACATACTGTGAAAATTGCTTGCTCTGCTCTGTTAAACATCATTTAGAATATATATATATATATATATAAAATAATTAAAAGGGGGGTAATAATTCTGACTTCAACTGTATGTTCAGTCTTGTATCATTTTTTTTAAAACACTCACTCTTGCATATGCTGCTCTACAGGGTACAGCTCCTTCCTATATCTGTGACATTGTTTCTCAGTACACACCCTCTTGTTCCTTGCATTCTGCTGATTCTCTCACTCTTCAACAGACACCCTGTAGATTCAAATTAGCAGGGTAGAGAGCTTTCTGTTGCTGCACCCAGCTTATGGAATGCTCTCCCTTATTCTGTAAGAAATGCTTTCACACTCATTAGTTTTAAGAAGATGCTGAAAACTCATCTTTTTAAGACTGCATTTTTAGATCCTTGATCATTCTAATGTGTTTATATTTTAGAATTTTCAATGTACGCTTGTATTTTAATGCATTTTAATTTCTCTGTTGTTGTAGCGCTTTGGCTTTTAGAAAAGTGCAGTATAAATAAAATGTATTATTATTAAAATCCTTATTATTATTATTAAAAACTTTAAATTTAGTGCAATTACTTAAAAAAAAATTCCACAAACAATAGGGACTTTTTGTACAGTCCGTGCAATTAAATCTCGAAGTAGGCTGCACATGACATAGAACACAGGTTCTTGATAGCTTTTGAAAAATGTGTCACCATGGCATGAAACACAGCAAACGTTATGCACTGTAACAGCAGTGTACCAACTATGCAAATGCTATAAAAGGTAGTAATTGTACAGATCATTATCATAGCGCAGTAAACAGCAGCCAATTAAACTATTCGTTCACTCTTAAGAGCGGTCTTTCTGCTGTCGTCTTGCTGTCTGCAATGTGCTGCAAAAAAGATGTTTTGTGCAAATGAAAACTTCCTTTTTGTGAATTGATATTCTCTAAGTGTAGCCTTTAAGATACAGACTGTGCTGCAAATGAAAAAACAAAAAAAAAACAAAAACGACAATACCGAATATAAATCAAGAAATCTGTTAATCCATCGAGTCTAGCTGTTTCAAAGACAGATGATGTGAAC